TGTGGAAAACGAATTAATACCGTGCGGAGTGTCAGTTCAACAGTATCTGACCACTCGGTATTACTGGCATAATATGGTGAAAACTATTGAAAATGTTTTGTTGAAATGTGGTAACGTTGAAGTAACTGGAAATGTTGAAAATGTGTCAGATTGTGCTAAAGTGCGTGATATTGAATGCGTAGCTGAAGAGTGCGGTGAAGCGCAGTTTGAAAAAGTTAAAATTGGCCTTACGCAGTCACAGGGAGAAAGCCCTTGTACTACGAACTCAGTTCAGTATGGGTATGAGTTAGCTGGTCGTAGCATCGGCGCAGACAACTGTGAAAAGCCTAAAATCGTAAATGAAACTTTAGCGGACTCTAAAAATGCAGTAACTGAAGTTGACGGTCAGGAAGTAAAAATGGTGTATGACGAAAAACCGTGTGTGGTTGAAGAACTTCCAAATGCGCCTGTAAATTTTCTGGGAATTTATTCCCCAAGATATCCCTTTTGAATGCCGTCTTACGGTGATTGTACGTTTGCGGATTGAGTCGCATTGGTAACCGCCTTGAGTTGCAATGCTGACTGAATACATGCAGTTGCTGGTATTTCGCAATTTCAAAGTGGTGTTTTATTTTATTTTTATTTTCTCCATCGCGGATGTTTTTTGCGTTGAATTTTTCATCGGCGATTTACATTAAATTTAACTTTGCCACTAAAAATCTTCATTTATTGCGTTCCGACGTTTTCCTGTTTGTACTCCGATCTCCGACTGCCGTTCTGCCATCCTACTCAGTCTTCTGGCCTACGCTCAGTTCTCCATCCCGTCAAGGATCCTCTCCTCACTTTCCATCTCATTCAGTCACCCGTGGAGGAGGATCAGTCATTCGTTCTTGGACGGTGGATGGATATGCCCGCCTTTGCCCAGTCGTGAGCATGAGAACTCATTTTATTTAGTTTTTTATTCCTGTTTTTCCAGTTCTTTTCTTTTTGTGTTGGGTTCCCCAAAAGCCGTTTGCGGGGTGACGGAATATAGCAGTACAGTACGTAAAGTGACGGCTTGACTCGTACTTTCTATTATTCGCTGTACCTTCTCGATCGTTCTCTTTTGTGTTCGGATTTACTTTTGGTTGTTTCTACACGGATGCGCCGTGTCTATATAAGTCCGTGAGTGGCAGTACTTTGGGGATCAGTTCTCTCAGGACGAGTTTTGGCAGTTTCGGAGTTTCTAATTAAATATCGTCGGAGATGCAGTTCTCGCTTCGCGTTAGCTATGCCACATTGAGATTATTAGCTCATACTCTGTCGTTGAGTAGGTCGGTAGGATAGATTATTACGGTAATTATTCCTATCGTACTGATCTCTCCGTCACCAACAGAAGCAAGAAGCCAGCCAACAGAAGCACCACCGGTCCAACGAAACGCCCGAGCGGCTTCCGGATTTTCGGCCGTGAGTGGCTTCCACTCATGGGTCCGGAAGTGAAGGAGGGACGGTCAACCAGACACCGGACTCCCACTGCTAGAGGACGCGTACCAGCGACCCCACATTGGGTCCGACTGGAGAGTTGTGCGGTACTGGTGCGGTACCGAGTTGGAGCATCCTTCGCAGGAGCTCGGATTCCCGCCCAGAGGCATGTCAGAGGCACACGACTGCGCCTGGTGCATACGGCCCACCATGGACGTATTAGCACTCATGCTTGCCATATCGCCTCTCTCGCTGTACGTACGTGTGCTGCTGCACTGCACTCATACCCGCTGAAGCGGATATATGCGGCGCACACACTGAGCATACTTGCTCTCTCGTCCCTCTCTCGCTGTATGACTCAGCGTACGCTCGCGTTGGATTGAGTCCAGTCTGCGCATCATCACACAGCTGATGGCACACAGCACGTGCTTGCCGCCAGTTGCTTCTTTCACGCCTTGACGGACGCTCAAGAGCCTTTTCTAGCATTCACTTGCTTGTTTAGCCATCAGTGCTTTGTTTTGCTTTCCCTGCTATTACGCAGCATTGTTCCCTTTATTTGTCAATAAAGCACACTCGTGATCTCCTCGCGCTTGCCTGTTACACTCAGTATAACCGTCAATTTTTACGAGAAGTCAGCAAAGAGGTGATTGCAAGTTTCGACCAGAATCTTTACACTATGTACATCTTCCTTCGGTCAAGTGTGGTTTTCTTTGGAAACATTTCCATACGTTTGCACAGCAAGGAGCAGTATAACAGTTCGTGCAACATGTTCGTAGTATAACTGGAAAAAAAATCGCGCCAGTAAAAGTTTTCTGGTAAATTGTACCGGAATCAAAGTTAATTTCTGTAGGAAACTCGAAATGAACTGCAATTCGCAAAAGTGAATAACTGTATTAAGTTTTTTCACGCGGCTTGTTACGGCCAGTTATTTGAAGATTTTTATTTAACGGCGTCGAATGAGAAACGGCGCTTATGAAATGTTTGTAATTTCCCTTAATTTTTTTTCGTTGGCTGGTATCTAATTCTCATGCTTATTTATTTCCGGCTGGTCTTTTAATTGCAATTTTTTGTAGGCGTTTTCCTGCAGTTACTGTTGTCATTTTAAATGAAAATGTGGGAGGCAGCACGCACCACGCGCTCCCTTCGTAGGGCATTTTTTTGGGGCGGTTCAACGGACATGTTCGAATAAGCAGTTTTGAGAATAAATAAGTTTTAGTTCGAATAAAAAGTTTTTAGATTGCATGATTGCCCTTTCATCGCAGGTTAAATACGGTTCAAAAGTAAACCTGAATTTTGAGACGTTTTCATTAAACAATTAAACGATTAAATGATTTCGACTGCTGCAATCTTACAGTCACAAGAACAACGGTATATGAGTATCCGTCACAAAAGCGAATTGTCCTTAGACGAAACGTTCTCACGGCCAAACGCCCTCCCTCTAACCGTCCGAAGACGGTCAAGCTCACCGCTTCTCATGACCAAATGTCGCAACGACTTGTCCCGGAGTCGGCTCTGTTATCAGATCGACGTTTACGTATTTTAAATAGATTGCCACAAAAAAACCAAATGTAATACTTATAGACAAAGCGGTTTTGTGGCATACAATCATAATGTTGTCTTCAGTACTTCAAGGCACACGCCAAGAGCGATAATGTAAACGCCGAAAGCAAAAATAATTGTTAATGCTGACTGAAAATTAAGGAAATTAATTGTAATTAACGATTTTCTACTGCAGTACCTGTACAATAAGAATTTTGCCCGTATGCTTTTTGTTTCAACCTAGCGACACTTTCATGCGTTTGGCACGCTGTGAATTATATTATGCGGCTGTGAATTATATTATATTATATTATGCGTTCAGTTATAAATTATGCGGCTGTTCTTATTTTCCTGAACATTAAAATGATATCATCCCTATTCCAGAACACTAAAACGGAAAGTGGAAATTGCTCAAAATTATAATTTTGTTTTTATGTACAACCGCGCACGCGTTATATACTGTAAGGGCGGGACGCCCCGCCCTCCTGAGTAGCTATTCGCTGTTTCTGGGGATTTCCCCCCCGCACATTGCTGCGCTGTTTTGACGGACCTGCAGCACAGTTGCACTGGCTGCAGGATCCTTCCTCATTAGTTTTGGTGTTGCTGCGCCACGGTGCGCATTAGATTCGGCAATAAAGCCTCATCCGGGTTCACGCTGTTCGCTGTAGAAGATACGCGTGGCGCCCATATGGCCCCGCGTTATATGGTAGCAGATCGTTGGTTACGAGCCAGGCCGTGCACGCTGCCCGCGCACGGCTCCTCTGATTATTTGAGCCAATTTAACCCCTGGGTGTGGAGCTACAAACGCCCCCCCCATTCTCGCGGAACGTGACGGATTCCTCTCCCAACTGACGGAGATGGACGCCTCCCGCGACGACATGCCTCCCAAACTGGACGGAGATGCCGCGGAGCGAGAAACGCCTCCTGCGATGCCGTGGAGCGAGAATTGCCTCCTGCGATGCCGACGGCGAACGCGACCCGGACCAGCGGGAAACCATAACGGATACACCGCCAACAGCACCAACTCCGATCCCAACGGCACGGATCGACCACCAGCACCACGCCGAAGAATTCCCCCACCAAAACACTGCCCGAACTTCCTGGGACGGCGACATCCCCGGACGGAGCAGTGGATTTCACCGCGGATTTGCGTGCTTTGTTTTTTTGCAGGGTCACGGGCCACATAGACCCCAAACCCTGCCCAAATTTCCCAGAACGTGACCTTTCCTTTGCTGAAGAAACTACGGAATTCACCCGTTTCCGGGTTGGACCCTGGATCTGGCGCGACAGTGCGTTGACCCAGACGGTTGACTCGGACCGAACCGGAGCCGACCTGACCCGGAACCCAACCTGAGCCGAACCGGATTTGAGCCGACCAAACTGGAACCGAGCCGACCGGATTAACCGCCCGAACCGGACCGAACTGACCCGGAACCCAACATGAGCCGAACCGGCGGGGGGGTGCGGATCCTCCGAATCCTGGGAGATTTCGCTCCGAGGACGTAGCGATGCCTGCAAAAGGGGTGTAAGGGCGGGACGCCCCGCCCTCCTGAGTAGCTATTCGCTGTTTCTGGGGATTTCCCCCCCGCACATTGCTGCGCTGTTTTGACGGACCTGCAGCACAGTTGCACTGGCTGCAGGATCCTTCCTCATTAGTTTTGGTGTTGCTGCGCCACGGTGCGCATTAGATTCGGCAATAAAGCCTCATCCGGGTTCACGCTGTTCGCTGTAGAAGATACGCGTGGCGCCCATATGGCCCCGCGTTATAATACATATAATTATATTCTACCGTATCGTATCGTTTGGACACCCACATATCGTAAGTGATGCGTGGCCCATTATCGCATCATCGGACAATTTTCTTTGAGTTATGTGTACCTACTCATAATATGAGCTTGCCTGCTTCTGATAAGTTAGCGCAGTGTGTGTACCTGCACTGATATATTATGTGATAATGTGTTAAACATAAAGCGTGCATCCTTTGCATTGTTTTACAAAAGTGTTTTCTTTGGCGTCGTTGATCGCATTACCAGTTTACCAACAGTGTCAGTATTGCTGCACCCACAGAAGAATGCAGGTTTCGCTATAAATACCATACCGATTGTTGCTTCCAGCAATAACTTGTTGAGTAATACCGTTTCCGCTTTGCAGACAGTATCAGGCAAAAATTCAGTTATGGCATCCGGCGTGGATCGAGTCGACGGCGAACAAACGGCCACCGATGCGCCTCCACAAACTTGTGATTCTGTGCGAACGGAGATGCCTCACACCCACTTTAGCCAAGCGATCCAGGATATGCTGACTAATCAAATTATGTGCGATGTGACACTTAAAGGGATGGACAATGCGTGCGAAGGCATTCCTTGCCACCGCAATATCGTCAGCGCACACAGCTCATATTTCCGGACAATGTTTTCCATCGGCATGAGGGAGTGCCACGAAGACGAAGTTTGCCTGAAAAATATTCCATTTAGTATTCTTAAAACGTGAGTTCAGAATTTGTCCAGATCCGATTTCCTGACGCTACCATGTGTTCTGTACCAGCTGCGTTCTAATTTAGGTTGATCGAATATTTATACTCCTTTCCAATCGTAATTGACGCCTCGAACGTCCACGATATCCTTGCTGCTGCCATTTTCTGGGATGTCCTTACCTTAGCTGAAACATGCTTCGAATTTTTAGAGCATCAGCTCGATAAGAAAAATTGCCTGAGGGTATTTTGCTCACTCCACTGCGAGAGTTACAAGCCCAGTTTTGTCGCACGTGCCAAAGAATTACTTTTGCAAAATTTTATTGAAATTTTCAGTGATGGAGAATTTTTAGAACTCGATAAAGATAAGGTAGGACACAATCGTGACTTCATTGCTTCTTGTATCTCCAAAATTTTTATAGGCTATCTTATCGGGGTTTGTTGTTGAAACAGATAATCGGGGTTATCACTGCCGATGATTTGTCTGTCGCCAACGAGGACGACGTACTATCAGCCGTTATCCGCTGGCGAGACCATGACCTTCTTAATCGGCGAGCCCACATGCACGAGATTCGGAAATTTATTCGGCAACCGTTTCTGCGTCCACCATCTGTCCGGCATTTTATTTCTGCCATGGTGAATGCAACTAGAGATAGATTTTGTGACAAGAATTGGGATGATTCTGCTGATTTATCTGAACTTCAGTATGTCCAAGCCGATGAGGATCACTTACAGTCCCGACCGCGTAATTCTTACGGTACATAAAAGGTATATGATCAACTACTGTAACTAATCCAGATTTAAATTTTGGCACATTGTTCTTTCTAAATCTCTTCATTAACGAAATGTTTTGCCGAAGGGTATTGTGTGCATCGGAGGGACGAACCCAGATGGTGAAGTGCAGGACGTTGACTGTTTTGATCCCTCTAATTCAACATGGTCAACTTTAAGGAGCTTGCCATGCGCCGTTTGGTACTCTGGTTTTGTCAAATTAGACGGGGAAAAGCTGCTTTTATGCGGCGGGTTCAGTGAGAAAAAGGCTTCACTTACAGAGAGGTTTATCAGTACGACCCTCTCCTAAACGAATGGGAAGAAAGAGCGGGAATGCAGACTGCACGATGTGGCCACGGCGCTGCATTTCTTAATGGGGCCGTTTATGCTATCGGCGGGATGACTGGCACTGATGAATCAGTGCAATTCATACCGACGGTAGAACGGTACATTCTTGCGGAAGATCGATAGGAGGCAGTGGCCGACTTACCAATCCCGCTCGCAGGTTTTGGTGTCGTAACGTTCAATGGTCGGATATATGTATTCGGTGGAGGGGTATCAAACGAAGAATCATCAAAATCGGCTTTCTGCTACGATCCAGTCAAAAATTCCTGGAGTCAACTAGCAAACATGCCCTGGGCCCGTTATTTTGTTTCGGCGTGCGTTGGTCAGCACGGTTTATTATATGTCATAGGTACGCAGCTTTAATTAAGCGTGCATGCTGTGCTATTTCGTCTTTCTTGAAGATCAATTTCAGGGGGAACGGAAGGCGAGGATGGTGACAGTCTTTCTTATGTTGAAGCATATGATCCCCGTGCAGATCGATGGATCACAACATGTAAGAATTTTTCAATGCTACACAGTTAGCTTTCAAGTTTCAACTAAGTTTTAAGCAGACTCAACAAAGTCTGTTTCACTTGTCACGTTTGATGTGTTGGAATCTGAAACATTGGGAAAGTTATTCGAAACTCTTTTCAGGCGCAATGAACACGAAGCGTAGTTTTCCCGGAATTTCGGTTATTAATGGACAAATTTACGCATTAGGAGGTCATGACGATGAATACGAAAGTTCCACTGAAATATACGATGAAACGTCGGATTTATGGGTCATGCAAGATGTACGGCTACCCAAGGCAAGGAGCGCGTTTGGATGCGTCACACTCACCATAAAGAAATCGTAAAGCGTATTGTTGTTTGCGGTTTATACCAGCTAGACAGCCAGAATGAGCGGTCAGATCGGGTTACTGGTGCATAGGTAAAGCACGATGCCAGTTTTCCGTTTCATATCCCCGCTTGCGCAGTCCAATATGCTACTGCTAATTGAGAACTGCAGAACTCTGAACCTAAGGATAGTCCAGCGGATAAGAAAACCTAGGAATCATACAAACATTTAGCAGCATAAAAAAAGGATTTTTCGAATTTATCTGTAATTCGTAATTTATTAGTAATTTATCTGTAATTAATATTAAATTCCAATTCCACAAATAACGGAAACCGCTAAGTAAGAGTAATTTAGGTAATCGACTGAAGCGTAGCGGAGGTTTTGTGTTTAGTGCTAATGGAAAATGTGATGTTCCTGCGCCGGTCACGAAATGCACGTATTTGCGGTGCTATTTGTTACCGGATGCACACCTGCAGTGTGACCGTATATATTCACGCTATATGTAACTCGCGGTGTTTGTGCGTCGGTCACTACCACCACTTGTGCATATTCACGGAAGTATTTGCTATCAAATGTAGTGTAAGTTTTTGCATTTAATAATACCGGCGGCATTCTTAGAAAGGTCACCTGTTTACTTGATAGTCAGTATTCCCGTGTGTTCTTCGTCGCCAATATGATTATAAGACATTAAGGTTTTCGTTTTTGGTGAAAAGGCCGCAGGGCATGGACCCCAAAGCGTCTGCGTGTCCGTGGGTCCGTGGGGCCGTTTTGCCAATCACAGTCTTGACATATCCTGCAGGACACCCATTTCGGCCACCAGACATTGGGGTCTCAGAGGCTGCCATAAAGACGGCTGTCCGTGGGTATCCCAGCGAAGGGAGGGCGGCCAGATGAAGTCCGAAAGAATTTCCTGTTGAGGAAATTCTGAAAAATGGCGAGGGAGCGGAATCGAACCGCTGGCTACCGAGTGTGTGATCCACGTAGCACAGCAACTGTGCCATCGCCGTTGTTGGCTGAGATCAAGATATTTGTGCTTGAGCTTGAGCCAACCAGGTAGACGGCGAATGGGGCGGCTGTCCTGAGTGCAGAGCCTTCTGCTCTGACAGGGGCCATATAACAAAAAAAACCTAGGATCAAAAAGCTAGGAAGATCAGCAACTACAGAACCTACCTGTACCTGTATGTGAACCTTCTGGCAAACATGCCCGCACCAGTACAGTTTGTCGTGCCACAAAAGTCACAATCAGTATCACCAAAATGATAGCCCTTTGGCTAGATTGGGGTTATGAAGGGCATATAAGGGAAAGCTGCATTTTAGATCGATATAGTATTTAAAAACTTTCTCACCAAATCCAACAATTCGGACCGCATTCAGCAGCAAGCACTACCGCACATGTGAGCATTTTGTGGCGTTAATGGCACAAGACTGCATAAGCGGACATTTATTAATCGACAGGCCCAAAAATTTCTTTTTACGATTTCACAGACATTTATTCACAGATCCTACGTAAGTGCTGGCCGGGGCCAAAAGCCCAGATTCCACTTGTCGCTGCGTTAAAATTTCTACCAACTGGAATGCGAGCATTAGGTGACTTAGGTCTATAACGGTTTCCTGTTGATTTTGCATTATTCAATATATTTTTCAGCGTCGGATAAAATTTGGTTAGCAAAATTATGCGCATCCATGTTTGCCTTCCCATCCAAGCAGTAGCGAAATCCTCGGTCTCTGATCCAGCTTATAGTTGAGATTCTAAATTGGGCTTGAACACAGCGATCTTGACCTTGGCGAGGATACCCTTACTGCGGGAAGAGGAAAGATTCGGCGGTACACACGATGTTTTGCTGGCCTTTTTTTCTGCCGGCTGCGATTTTCTTTTCTTCAAAGATACATTTTCTCCACGACGAGCTTACTGAGACTTGAGAGCACCGAGCGTCAAACATCATTGCTGAATTTTCGTCTGGGATAGCCTTTCGGAAAACAGTGCGCAACATTCGAAGTCATTATTCTGGGCCAGTTTTTCGTGGCATGATTAGGCATTCACAACTTTTAAACTTCATCGAATCGCCGGGAAAACATTACATAAAATACACAAACGCGATAGCCATAACGCTCGAATACAGGTTTGTTTTTGAACAAACTAACAAAAATATGACCGTTACTTGTTAATAGCAGCGAGGTGTCCATTAAAAACTTTCACAAAGTAACAGATATTGTGCCTAATTGTCAAAATTAATTGGTTTAACCGGGAAAGGGAATATGACTATCCAGAGGGCAGCGATTATGGCGAAGGTCACCATTTTTTGTGGAACACGGAAGCTCGGGTGCCGGGTGCTGATACCAATGCAGCCACACCAGTAACTTTCGGGAGCGCCTCCTATCACTTAAAGATGGCCGCGAAACTGCTTGTTGCCGTCCTGGAGGAGCGCAGCACGACCGGCTCGCTGGAGATTAGCGCGAGACTCGATGCAGAGAAAAAATCCCTAATGGAGCAGTTAAATAAATACGTTAGAAACCGAACAAATAAAAATCAGTAGCTAAATAAATATATAGGTACAATGAAATGCTTAGTATATAAATCTAGACAATTGCTGCATTCGGGAACCACGGTAGCGTGTTATGCCGAACCGGGAGTGTACAATATTTTACGGCAACGACGCGTCAGTGAGGACGTTTTCTTGCTGTCTAATAAAACACTTAAAAGAACAGCGGGCTGCATGTACAGCTGCACGATGGTTTCTTATTATCCTAACTTATTGTAACGCATTTTAGTTTTTATTAATCGTGCACAAGATCGGGATAATCGCTCTGTAAGTGTACAGTGCAGCACAGGTGTATCCGGAATAACGCGGAGTTGCGCGTTACTGCATTGTTTCCATACACAGTATAACTATTATATGCTTCATAAGTACAAAGTACATAATTATAAAATAATGATGCAGAAAAGCAAAAAAACTGCACAAATAACATAATAATTACAAGAATATTTACTGCGTTCATTAATTCTGACTGCGTTCATTAATAATACTCGAACGTCGGACTGGGCTAACAAATTTTGTTATCCTGCCGAGCTCTTAAACGTTAATTTATTCAGTTTTGAGTAGTTCAAATGTAGTAAACTGGCTTTGCATAACACGAAAACATCTACAAGGGCAGCGGGCTGCGATTCAGGCATCAAGATAGTTTGCAGTATAGAGAAAACAATCTGGTCTGCTTTTTTCTGCGGCATTTTATTTAGAATACATATATTAACGTACAATCTGATAATAGAGCCGACTTCGGGACAAGTCGTTGCGACATTTGGTCGTGGGAATCGGTGAGTTTGCTCGTCATCGGGCAGTTAGCGGGAGGGTATTCGACCTGAAGAACGTTTCGTCTAAGGACAGTTCGCTTTTGTGACGGATGCACATAATTAGACCGTTTTTTTTTGCGACTGTTTTCGTTAATTTTCATTTATTTTGTTAAGACTGCAGCAGTCGAAATCAATCGTTAATAAAACGTCTCAAAGTTTAGGTTTACTTTTGAACCGTATGTAACCTATGATGAATGTGCGATCATGCAGTTTAAATATTTTTTACCTATTCGAACTTGCCCATAGAACTGTCCGAAAAAAGCCCTACGAGGTGAGCCAGTGGTGCGTACTGCCTCCCACAGTTTCGTAAGGACACAGTAACTGTTAACTGCAGGAAGTTGCCTACAAAAAACTGAAATTAAAAGACCAGCCAGAAATAAATAAGAAGCATTAGAATTAATTACCAGCCAAATAAAAAAAAATTAAGGGAAATTACAACCTTTTTATAAGCGCTGTTTGCCCTGGGGTACAAATAGTTCAAAGGCTATGGCGGAGGGGGCGCAATTTCGGGGAGGGGGCGCAATTTCGGGGGGTGGCATTATTTTTCAAACGGTATATTTTGGGAGGGGGCATTATATTTCAAACAGCTGCTCAACCTGTTCTAGTGAAACTGAACGCAGTCGTTACCGGTAAACTCGACAGCGCAACCTTCCCAGCAACATTTTCGAGCATATACTTAGGTCCCCATACACTTTTTTGCAACGAATACCGTATTATGTTGATGTCCGTTTAATGCTTGCTCACAATCACAACAACTTCTATAAAGTATTTGCGGTACACCTATCATTTTGCAGCGCTTGACATTTATTAACGGCCCCCTGGGGCGTAATTTCGGGGGGTGGCCTTATTTTTCAAACGGGGTCTGGGAGGGGGGCTTATTACAGGGGGGGGCTCTTATTGCGGGGGGAGCCACAAATTCGATAATTACGGTACCTTATTTATAAAGGTTGTTAATAAAAAAAGAGAACGACGTCGTCTACGTTACCAATAAGATGCTTAACAGCGACATGAGAACCGTGAGTGGTTGTGTAGTGTTGTGGCTATATACGGTGTGTGCGCAACTGCAATTCCGGCATGGATTAGTAAGACTAACGCACCATGAACTGCTTTGGTGTGAGTTTAATCTTTTTCCTCTTAGCGTTATTTGATAAAGCCAGACTTAGCCCGTTATCGGTCGATGCCAGCGTTGGTGACGCTCACTTGTTATTTTTCCTGAGCCTTGATGCTGAACATTCTTCCCATTCTAGACGCATAGGGATTTTAAAACACGTTTGTTACGTTCTGACTTGCTGATATGTCCAACCTTTTTAACAATCTCCTTTTAACGCGAAGTGGCCAGCAACTCGGTCCTTTTGCGAAAACGAGCATACCGTCGACGCGTTACACTTTTAGACAAAATGTAAGCATATGACACATAAAGAAATGATTTTTTTAACTTTAAAATGGGTTCAATAATAGTAATGCATTTGTTGTTGCTGAGAAATTAGTTCTTAAAGTGAAAAGTTTTAAGTCGATTTTTACAGTTCAGATTTGAAAAAAAATATTCTGAAACGGCCATTTTATAGAGTGAAGTATTAGAAGCCTATTAGACGGACAGAAGTTTGATTGATAAAAAAACATAAAAAGAAAAAAAATCGGGGCTGCCAAAGAAGTGCTTGGGGCACTCTGCCCCTGGATATTTCTGGCCATACCCTCGTGAAAATGTATAAGTTTTTTTTATAACTTTATTTGAACAGCGGCTGTATCTTTTTGTGCCGCAAAAGTTAGAGTAGAACTTATAATACCCAACTTAATTTGGAAGTCGTTTTTAGAAGTTTCATGGTACTGCATTCAGAACTTTTGCTTTATCGTTGTCAGACGTTTTATTGCAATTTTTGCCGCACATTACTCGTAAGTCGTAATTATGCACATACTTCAGTTTAAAACGCACAAAAAAATTAAAAAATGACACTAACATTACAGCAAAAACTAGCAATTAAACAGCAAATTATCGTCTGTGGCACTTTTTAAATACAGAAATTTAGACCGGAAGAATTTACGACAAAAGCCAAAAACCAAACAATAAGCCTGCTTCGCTTCCGGAGTCGACCCCAGTTTGTCAAATGGGCAAATCCGTTAGTTTCCTGAGGAACGGGAAAACATTTATTTTACCATATCAATAATTTTGAACTACACGTACAATACGCAAATGACAAATTTACTAACTGTACAAATTATTCAACGCCAGTTTACTCAGTTTACAAAACGCCTAAGCCCATAGTGTGGAGCTCACCTTTTTTTAGACGCGCAATGTTCTTCCCTCCTCCATCCAAAGGCCCAGTGTGCGTTCTCGAACGCTACGAAGATGGCGCCAGGAATTAATATAATGCCTAATGAAGGTGAAAGATCGTTCCACGGAGTCGACTCCAAAAATAACCGAAAAACCTGAGACAAATACACCAAAATTAACTTTCCTGCCTTTAAAACCGACAAGCAGTACTGTCAATTTTGTTTGAAGGGATTTTCAAAAGGATGTGAGGAAATTAGAGCCTAATGGAGAGACAGCCCGCTTAGCAAAAAATAAAGACAGAAAATCAAGATCGCTCAGTCTTAGGACTTAGAGAAGATGCGTACTGTACTTTTCATAATTTCTTATTTTCTATGATTACTAACTAGAACGGAGTCGACTCCAGAATTTATGGCTGCCTCTTATAATTATAACGCCTTAGAACCAAGCATCATACCTGTTGTAAATAGAACAACAACGAATCATGGCAGTTTCGCCCAACAATCCAGCTGCAGGCTCCTCATTCATCAGAGACGCAGACGCTCCCAACAGTCAACGACTCAACAGTGATTCTGCTCGTGAACCCGTGGTGAAGTAATTTTAACATGGTATTGATTTCTGACTCAATGTTTCAAAATTCCATACAGAAAGCTACAGATCACGTCTGGTTTCAGACATTAATCATTTTCTACTAAACCCTTCAAATCAAAACAAACTGTAATATCAGTAATAAAAGTAAAAAGTCACAAAGAAAGTGAAACAAACTGATGTGCTCACTGCAGCTAGGGCAGTGCGTTGAATTTCAACGGCTCGACGGTGTTATTAGCGAGCTGACTTGTGAGCTATATTTACGCGGTCGACCGCGCGGCCTTGTCGCGACCGCCACCTCGTGGGGTTACATGGATAATTTTCACGTAGCTGCTCTTTTGAGGTTATAAAGCCATAAAAATTTATTGTTATTTGTGTATGTAATTTGTTGTTGTTATAGAACTTTATTACAGTACAATGTCTTAATTCTTTAGTAGTTTGCTAATAGTTAAATTAATCACATACGTTAATTTTGTTTAACGTTTCTTTTACGAATTACTTACTTGATTGTTTATTGTCTGTATGAACTAGAGAAATATAAATTGGATTTTTGGAATATGTTTACATGTGCAATTACTAACAAAAAATATTTTAAAACTACGTGGTATTCAAATCTTTTTTGTCAAATTGCGGTGTATTGTACGTATAAAGTAGCAATGCAGTTATGCAGGGATGCAACTTGGTGCAGCTGCTCATTATGGCTTACTATTGCAAACAGTGCCGTGACTGCGTCAGTGCCGTAGTACGACTGCACGAGTAAAGTAACTTTTTGACCAACTTGAAGTATTCCATAAGTTATATGAAAGGTCCAAGTTATAATCGGCTGTCATTAAAACTTTTTTGTAAGTTTAGAATAACTTTACATGTACTTCTTTTCGTAACTAGATGTTTTTAGTAACTTTCATTTTCACGAGGGATATCTGCCGAACGAAATCCCGTATAATAAGCTCAGGCTGCGGTACTTTATTTAATGCGCTTTTATTCGCAATTTTAGGCAAACAAAGTTATCTCAGCGATCTGATTGGCGCACATACTTACGCATACCGATACAATGGTAAGGTTGCCTTTTGGTACACTGCCTGCACGTCCGAAGGCCACGAGTGGCTCTAACGATTTTGAATGTTTTTTTAATGTTTAAATTTGATCAGCAAAGACTTGACTAAAACATAATGCAATGAACCTGGATTTATTTGATTCTGAAAATTTGATGGCATACTGATTTTAGTTGCTGGATTTTTTGTGATTCTGTTATTTTGTTTTACCATCTGTGTATGTACTGCGGAATGTATATGTATATTTTGCGGTCTAACCTATGCGATTCACTATAATCAAATAATTTTTTGCCGCAAAATTATGTAAGCACCCCAATGCCGCGTAAGACGCTTTTATCAGGCATTAGAGTGCAACGAAAAGAGTTACTAGTACCGTTTATTGCTATGGCTGTGTTAGTATACTGCGGTTGTGAGATCCTGGGTAAGGATCTAAAAAAAATATATAAAAAGAATATGTAAAGGTGATATACATAGGGTAAATATGCATGGAATATAGAATAGGGGATATATAGAGATATATCTATGTAGAGATCATACGGGACAGAAGGATCACGTAGTAAGACTTTATTGTAGGATACTTGGACATACCATAGATCCTATCTACGCCACGAAGAAGTGGACGCAGAGATAAAGGAATATAGAAGATATAGGCATAGTGAGTGAGACTATACGCGACAATGGGCCGTACAGGCATACGGCTTATCCCATACGCTAGTATGCTATAGAAACGTTATGGTGATCTGTTTGCTATTAAAGCCCACAGATATATGGCTCGATACTTAGATATCCAATGAATGATACCACTTATAGTAGGTACTTTCAGTTCTGACTGCCTTATGATAATGCAGCCCAACGGACTGTGCGTCATGCTCCTATGTGTCATTCCGAGATAACGCAAGCGTTGTGCATTGGTTTGTTGCAACAGTCAACACATGCCCACTTTAAGGCAACATTGCCCAACGGAAAATCTAGTCTCGACTAGATTTTCCGTTGGGCATCGTTGACTTATCCATGCATTGCGCGCGTTACACGCTGTAGACGGTGAATGCAATGGACTGCAGTCACTGCACTGCCCCGTTAATACCGTGCTATCGACGCTATGTAATAACAAATTTAGATCTAACATAATTACGAACGCAGAATAATGCGTATGCTACCATTAATAATTTAATGACTTTGAGACGGCATTAATTACTAATTAGGCAGTAATTTCCCGTAATAATTAATAATTAAGCAATATTTAGGCTAATTAGATAGTCTTTCAAGACGGCGGCGGCTAGCTTTACTGACGTATTAAAGGTAATTAAGCAGACTAAGCTAATCAGGCAGTAATTTCACGCTCTCATTAACAACGTCGAGCTTATGATAAGTCTAACTTATCACAAGCTGGGGCATTCATATATCGCAGCCGTTACCGTTGCTCTGTTATCGCATTATTGGATAGTTTTTCTATGAGTCAAATGTGATTACTCATGGTTTTGACTTATCGTAAGTTAAACTTACGATAAGTCAGAGTGTGCTGAAATTCCTTAGTGATTCCATGATGATCCTCTTGCTATGAAGCAAGCGGTATATATACTAAGCAAGCTAGTGACAACGGACAGGCAATGAACAATGTATGTAGAGCTATGTACGTACATGTAAAGTGGGCCATGAAACATGTGAAGGAAAGAGTTATGTACGGTGGCCTTCACACGGTATAGACATTATCGCATCAAGCTTTGCAAGTTTCGACTTTGATAAAAGTGTACTTTGATAAGGTGATGTCATTCTAAGGATGGTTTCTGCAATTCTAACGGCTATCAAATCGGTGGACTTTGTTAAGTAGACAGATTCAAAGCTGTTTACCTTCCATTAAATGTAGCGTGATCATGTGAGGCGCTCAGCGGGTCTTTTGTGTTTGGTTGTTTGCTGTTTTTACAGTATCGACATGCTGTCACAAGTACAAAGTGTTTCGTGTATACCCGCGTTCTTTAGCGTAGTCATTTAGTAGCTGAATTTCTCTATTATTTTGCTGTGTACGCTTCAGCGCTTATTGGACAAAAGTAACAATGCGCTTATTCGACGTTGACGAACCGCGCGACGGATTTTTGTCACGAAATTCCGGTGACATTGGCCCTTGTATCGACAATGCCATTGTGGCTGCGGAGCGAGCCATTCGGGCGCGGCTGGCGACCATCAAAATCCTGCGAGAAATGGCAGGAGCGTTCGATGAAGTAACGCGTCAGGAGAAGATTACTACAATTACAGGAGGCACGGTCTCAGTCATCGGTACGCACAACACATGCAGTAAAAGTTCCGTTAATAGTTACGTTCCGTGTTACTGCATATGCATAAGTGAAAAGCAGCTGTAAAAACAGTGATTTTTTCAACGTGAAGCTTTAGCTGTACACTGCACTGCTTACGTCTCATGCGTGCTCTTTTTACGCGAATCAGTACAGTAATCCGGTTTTCGAAATAACCGTTTGTCATGGGATACGGGATCGAGACACCTTATTGCTGTGAGTGTATTATTATGATCTCCACATGGCTTTCTTCTTACGACCAGCATTGTAATCCACAAAAGTCTGCTGATAATCAAAGATGAAGCAATTCTTAACTTGAGTACTACGTATTTTTGCCTCTTTTACTTGAATCGTCTCGTTCTTAGGCAGTGTGCTTGGCATTGCTGGAGGTGTCCTCACCATTGCCACTGCGGGAGCGGCAGCCGCCCCGGCGGCAGTGGCGTATCTTCTCTGGAGCGGAACCGGTGTTGGTCTTGCTGGAGGCATAACAAAAGGCATTGGTAGTTACCTCAGTACGAAGAAACAGAAGGATCTCATCGAAAGGCTCGATAAAGCCGTTCACGAAGACGACGAGGCCCATAAACGCTTGACGAAGCTACTGGAAGTCCTTTCGGCAGATCGATTCAGCACAACACGGTTCATTGTCTTCAAGCATGCCGCGATTCCTGTCGTTACCGGAGGCAATGCCGTTGCCTACGTTATGGGCGGTGCGGCACTGGTGGAAATAGTCAGCCGACTAGTGCCCTCGTTGCTGCAACATGTGGAGGACGAAAAAGTAAAGAAGGCTTTAGGTGCAACGGTGGCGTTGCTTACGCCACTACTGATCAAGAACTTCACTATCACCACGCCGAAAACCGGTGCTAGCGTCGTGGACGATATCGCCCGCGGTGCAGTGGATACCTTCGCTGACGGCCCGACGAAAAAACTGGCCTACATTGCCGCTAAAAAGGCAGCAACAGCCGTTATGAAAGATGGCGGCGATGATGCAGCGCGGGCGTTAACAGCCAAAGCAGCTGTGGTACTGCAAGAAAAGGTTGCCGCCGAAGCAGTAGAAAAAGGTGCCGAAAAAGCAGTCGCTGTAACTTTACGGGCGCTGGCGGAAAAAGGCTCTGAGCTGACCACTGCATCCGGCGCTGTAGAAGCCGCCAAGCAAGTGCTGAAAGCGGCAAAGGGTAAGGCTGCTAGAAAAGCCGCCAAAGCCGGCATGAAGAAAGCGGTGGAGACGTTGGGTGCTAAAACAGCGGAACGGGCCACCGCCGAATCAGCCATTAAAGCCGCGCAGGACGCGGCGGCAGCCGCTGCCAAAGAGTTAGCCGTAAAAGCCGCCGAAGCGGCCGCAGCAAAGCAGGCGGTCGATGCGACGGTGAAGACGGCTGCAGCATCTGCCGCTAAGCAAGCCGCACAGAACGTAGTCAAAACTATGGCACGATTGTCCGGCGGTGTAACTGTGGCATTTGGCGCGTTTTTTGTCGCATGGGACCTGTATTCCATGCATCAAGATTGTCGTAAGGAAAGCCTTGGGGAGACGCTGAGAAAGCTAGCCAGTAGTCTGGAAAACGTTGATGCGGGATGACAGCTTCCGGTATATCGACCAAAACAATGCGTGAAAGAGTAACCTTCTACCTGGTGATTTTCATTTGCGTACTTTGTTGGTTACAAAAAAATTTCGCTATCTCATTCTTAAAGGGCGGAAAATTTAGTCCTAAAGGCTAAAAAGAATGATTGCAGCTAAAAGATTTACAGTTAACAAGAATTATGTATTTCGTCCAGTTCAGCTAGCGGAACGCCTCAGGGAGCCCTTGGGTAGCAGATTGTGAACGCTTGTTACCGGGTGCACGTACCTGCTAAAGATTTGGGATCACCGTACACCGTGCGCTACCAAGAGCTGATGGCATTCTGGCTGAACCACGTACACAGTCACTTGTCGACACACTAACACACTACCAGTCTACCCCGTGAACCAGGTGAACCTATAGAACCACATAGAACCACCATTGAACCACCAGTGAACCACGTACACAGTCACTTGTCGACACACTACCACACTACCAGTCTACCCCGTGAACCAGGTGAACCTATAGAACCACATAGAACCACCATTGAACCACCAGTGAACCACGTACACAGTCACTTGTCGACACACTACCACACTACTAGTCTACCCCGTGAACCAGGTGAACCTATAGAACCACATAGAACCACCATTGAACCACCAGTGAACCACGTACACAGTCACTTGTCGACACACTACCACACTACCAGTCTACCCCGTGAACCAGGTGAACCTATAGAACCACATAGAACCACCATTGAACCACCAGTGAACCACGTACACAGTCACTTGTCGGCACACTACCACACTACCAGTCTACCCCGTGAACCAGGTGAACCTATAGAACCACATAGAACCACCATTGAACCACCAGTGAACCACGTACACAGTCACTTGTCGACACACCGTCACACTACCGCTCTACCCCATGAACCAGGTGAACCTATAGAACCACGTACACAGTCACTTGCCGAAACACCGTCACACTACCGATCTACCCCCTGAACCAGGTGAACCTATAGAACCACATAGAACCGCCAGTGAACCACCAGTGAACCACGTACACAGGAACTTGCCGACACACGGCTACACTACCAGTTTACCCCGTGAACCAGGTCAAAGATACCAATGAAGAATGCAGAACTATAACGAAGACACAATTTTTGAAAGCGCATGTCGGCTTTGTGCCGTGCCGGGTGCGGAGCCACTCTATTGTTCAATTGTGCGCATTGCGTATTAGTGCTTTAACCTTAGTAGACTTGCATAATTTGTAGCTTAGTAGACTGTAAACTAAACTTGCGTAATAATGCTTGCATGGTCCTACTTGCAGGTGTAACGAATATAATTTGCTTTTTCTTGGATTCGAACGTTTGTGCTTAGGGCAAACCAGTTAGCAAACTGTCCGATCATCATTCGTCCGGTCCGGTCATCATTCGTCCGGTCTGTCCGGTCAGTAAATAGTCGCCAGCAAGCGGTCGGTGTGCCGTCACTCGGTCGGTCACCACGGTTTGCTGTCAGCACGAACGTTCAGAGATCCGAAGAAAAAAATTATATTCATTACGGCACACCGACCAGGAACAGTTTGTAGAAACGACAAGCCGCTGAACGATATCTCGCTGAACAGCTTTTTGTGAACACTAAAAAGTTTTTGACGGCATTTTGCTGACGTGAGAAACCCAAGAAACCTAAGAATCTTAAAAAACTTACGAAACACTAAAAAAACAACAAAAGGGCAAGAAAACTCAAAAATCAGTTCATCAATTGAAAAATCAGTTCCTCAAACTGGAAAACAAGTTGTCGGTCAGCAAAAGGGCTTGAAAAAACGTCGGTCAACAATTTAGAGAAAAGCAAATTGTCGGCCAACAATTTGACGGCCAGCCGGTTGTGTCAGTCAGCAACAAGTCGGTCAGCAACATGCCGATCAGCAGTTTATAGGTCGGCGAATTGACGTTACACCCCGAGGGCACACTTTCCGTCGTAGTCAGACGAATGGATGGCGCCAGGCGAAAAGTGGGCGGCTCATTCGTCTTTCTTATCCATCATCAGGAAGGTCAGTGCCATTTTATTGATTTTGCATCGCCCATGCAACGACCTTCGTGTTGGCCTATTGCGCGTACAGCAGTCGCTTGAAAGGTTACCATGACATTGCCGAGCGTAGTTTGTCGCGTCACGTGGCTGTTGTCACTACCCGACCAACTCAACTGGTAGAGCAACTGTCGGCAACTGACAACGTCCCGAGGGTGGCCCCTTACGCCTTTTGACGTTTCGTTTTTGCAACAATCATTCGCAGCGGATGATAACCCTTTATTCCGAATCTCTACACTGCTGTTTGCACAAATCCGAAAATTAGTGCAAAATTTTCTGTGCTTCAGGTATGCCGCTTGACTTTTGCGCGCTACAAATTCTTCCTTTTAAAATAAGGCAAACCCTGTGCGGGGGAAAATTTATAATCAGGGCATGTACAAATAGCACCATAACGGTACCTACGCCGATCCACTATAGTTCATTTGATATGGTTGATAATGCATTTCTCGTGATAACTGTTTTTACAACATTTATGCTTCATGGAAACTGTAAAAGAAACCTTTCAAAAATAAAATTTACAAAAAGGTCAATTATATTTTCGTCCCACCAATCACACCATTCCATCACTTCACGTTTACATTTCCATCACATCCCACATCAAAAACCATTGTGGGATGGCAACCCTATGCTGTACAGTGAACCCGCTATGCATTACTAACTTTTGTAAAGTATTTTTAAAATTTATTTACATCTGTAGTAGCAGATAAAAATTTGCAGATAATGTCAAGTATTTGTTTTGGACCACTTATCAGTCGAAGGCAGAGCCCCAGGCAACGCCTAGCTGCGGCTCAGTCGAGCACGAGAAGCAGCAAGCAAGTCAACTGATTTCAGCAAAAAATAATTCAAGCTTTAATCATATAAACAAGACCACAGCAAAGCTGCCAAAAAAAAACGACATCGGGTACAAAAAATAATTGTGCATAGGATTATTCCGGTGTCCGACGAGATCAAAAACAAACCATAAATTTCGATACGAATGTCTAGCTACAATGTATTCACTTGCGTTAAAGGAATAAAATTCAAAAATGCTAAAAATGAAAATGTTAATAATTTAAAATTCTAGAGTAGTAGCCAAAGTTGGTGCTACATAAAATTATGGGAATGGACCGTATGGTTGCTCCGCCAATTTACAACACCTGTTGGCTGTTCTCACGAACTCACGTTTTAACTTCTGGCTATTCGCACTACTTTTCAAGAAAGAATTCTCACACTACCTTTGGGCTATTGCCGTCGGCTTCGTACAACATAATTTTTTTCGCGAAATTCGCGTTGCTTATTAAAGAATATTTATGTAACTATGTTCATCGAATAATACTTTAAAAATAATTTAAAGTTGAGAAGGGCAAAATAGTAGCGCGATTTACTAATGGTACCTTTCTCACTACTGCTTTATCACTCACATCTCGCCCAAAGCATCAAATGGCTAAGTAACTCCATTTTTCGATTAAAGCTGTTTAAGATACAAGTCTATGGAAGGTAAATTTGGTTTCGAGCACACATGAATCGTTAATCTCGCAAGGATCGTCTGCTTACCCGTAATAGACACCTTCTTATAATAGACAGCTAAGCGGTTCCAAAAAAAATCTACAGAAAGATATCGGACGGTGAATTTATGGGAGGTGCATTTAAAAGCTTCCTAAAAATGACCACTACCCCAAACGGGCCAAACCCAAAGTTCTTGGTTTTCAGTCTTGTTGCTTTTGTGAATACATCGTTTTTTGCATTAAAAGAAAACGCTTTCTATGGCCACTCGTGCGAATCTAAGTTACTAAAGAATTTTACTTTTCACCGACACCAGTAACTTTTTTAAGGAATTTTGCCGCTTTTTTACCGTAAGGATGCTAAGAAGCGCTTTGTTTTTGGCACCTACTCCCAGACAGTTTAATTTTCCCTCACAAGCAGTTTGATGACACTATTCTTTTAAAAAAGCCGTTTTGTAAGAGGAAAGAATTTCTAACGGTAAGGCATTTTATGCTCTTCAAAACATTGGCGAGGCGATTAAGAAAAATTACAGAACTAGTCCGTTGAGACCACGAGAAAAAGTGCGAAAAACCGTCCATGGTTTTCTCCGCAGTTTTTTTCTGTTTTATGGGAGTTAACTGGAGTTATAATATGTTTTGAAGGCCGGACGTGAACACACTAATACCGTGGGCGCGCGGAAAACCGCTGGCCATAGACGTCACCTTCGTAGACACGCTGGCGGTTTCATATATCGACCGCACTTCCGTGACCGCCGGCGCAGCAGCCGAACTCGCTGAAAGGAAGAAACTAGCGAAACACGCTTGGATGCAAGCAAGATACGATTTCGTTGCTGCAGCCATCGAAATTTACGGACCTTATCGAGACGGTACTAAAAAGCTAGTGGAAACCGTTGGAAACGGTATAGCAACTTCAACTGGCCAAAAGCGGGCGAAAGAGTTTTTTAAACAGCGAATATCTATGCAAATACAACGGGGAAACGCGATTTGTGTAATGGGTACGATCCCCGATCAGGATAGCATAGAGGAAGTGTTTCTTTTGTAAACGCCGCTTTGTTCTGGTGCATAGTTTGTACTCGTACCATGATACTTAATAAAGGTTTTTGATGTGTTTTCTTTCTGTTCCTTAATGAAGGTCGTTTCTAACAATATGGCTAATAATTATAAGCTGCATGCGTTTCTGAAGGAAGATGCAAATAATTGAAAATTACTTTTGGAATGTCCTTTGTAGTACCGCTTGTCATTCTTTTTTCGTCGGCAAGTGATTGCGTACGTGGTTCACTTGTGGTTCACTGGTGGTTCTATGTGGTTCTATAGGTTCACTTGGTTCACGGGGTAGACTGGTAGTGTGTTAGTGTGTCGACAAGTGACTGTGTACGTGGTTCACTGGTGGTTCAATGGTGGTTCTATGTGGTTCTATAGGTTCACCTGGTTCACGGGGTAGACTGGTAGTGTGGTAGTGTGTCGACAAGTGACTGTGTACGTGGTTCACTGGTGGTTCAATGGTGGTTCTATGTGGTTCTATAGGTTCACCTGGTTCACGGGGTAGACTGGTAGTGTGTTAGTGTGTCGACAAGTGACTGTGTACGTGGTTCACTGGTGGTTCAATGGTGGTTCTA